TATGTAGATGGGTCTGTCTGGTCTCGGGGCGAGTGATCCCTAGTGGTTTTATATTCAGGGTATCCTAAGCATCAGTCAGTCAGTTTCCTCAGATAGTTTTCATCCAGGAAGTGTAGCAGATCGGGCTGGAGAAAGTGCTAGGTAAAAGGTTATCTAATTGGGGTCAGAGTGCACACACTGAAGGTTAGCTGGCCTGACTCACGGTTCTGCGAGTGGAGTGCTCTTCATGGACCTTCTAGGTCCGGATCTGGAGTGTTCTCCCCAACGCACTCACGCACACACACACTCACACACACACACACTCACACTCACCCTCTCACTGTAGGGAAAGGTGGTGAAGTGTAGGTCACTCTGCATTGGGATTAAGTTGAGCTTTTTAAGAAAACAAGTGTGTTGGAATACACAGCAAGGGACAGCAGGCTGAGCGATGACAGGTCTGTGTCACAGCTTGAAGGTGGCTTTTGATGATAGAGTAGCACATAGATGCTCTGAGCTTGCCTGAAATTGGGGGTCTCCTAAACAGGTGGGGGGGCGTCTGCCATTTGCTAAGCCACTGTTAATATGCTCGGTATGTACGTTTTCTGGTTGATGGGAGGGGCTGTATTTTAACTTGCCGTGGTTTAAGATACTAGTATACCTTGTTATAGGTACAAGGAGCTATTCTAATAGGAATTTTCTGAATATCCCTTTTCTTCCCTTTGCAGAATATCCAGTTATGGATAAAAATGAGCTGGTGCAGAAGGCCAAACTGGCCGAGCAGGCTGAGCGCTACGATGACATGGCAGCCTGCATGAAATCTGTAACCGAGCAAGGAGCTGAGTTATCTAATGAGGAGAGGAATCTCCTCTCTGTTGCTTACAAAAATGTTGTAGGAGCCCGTAGGTCATCTTGGAGGGTTGTCTCAAGTATTGAGCAGAAGACGGAAGGTGCTGAGAAGAAGCAGCAGATGGCTCGGGAGTACAGAGAGAAAATCGAGGCAGAGTTGAGAGACATCTGCAATGATGTGCTGGTAAGAGCCCTGAGCTTCAGCCCTCACCGTAGCCAAACCAGAGGGCAAAAAGACGCTGGGCAGTAAATGCGATGATGTTTGTCAGGCACCTGAGGTTAAGTAGAAACCAGACAAACCATCCATCCATTGACGGTCTGTGTTCCTGTGGCGCTACGGCTGGCAGTCTTACATGTATGTGTGTGGAGAACACAGGATTTTACATCCTGGTTCTTTGTAAGATGTGGTAGAGACCCTGCAGGTCTAGTTCCCTTCCCTGGCTTGGCTGCCATGATAATAGAGTAGCCTGCTGTGCAGGAAACTGGTTTGCAGTTGCTCGTTGGGATTAATGTGTTACAAGTCAACTTTGAACATTGACAAACAAAGAAAGGAGGTTATGAATAAACTCAAACCTGGTCTTCAGCTTCTCGAGTATCTAAGTATTTGGCTCCTACTGTGTTGAAGAAACAACTGTGCCTCTGAGCTAAGAGAAGTAAATGTTACATTGGTGTGAATTTTGTTTTCAAAATAATGTTGTTTTTTTTAATTCAGAAAGTTGATATAATCTAATAGAAGACCAACCAATTAAATTTCCTAGGCAGGATCCATCTTACAGCCCAGGCTAGCCTTAAAACTCCTGTTGGTCCTACTCTCTCAGTCTCTCAAAAGCTGGGAGGCACTACAGCTGGCAAATTAGAATTCTTTTAAGACTGTCTTTATTGATAGAAAAGTTTTGATTCCTAAATTGTCCTTATTTTAACCCTTCAATATGTTTTCAGGCTTTTAAAGATTGAACCCATTTTAAGATTTGAGTTTTTTAAAAAAATAAACTGAAATCTAGTGGTTTCTGCTTTGGGTACATTTTTCTTTTTTATAAAAGCCTTCTTATAAAGGCTTTTATAACTGCTATTTTCACAAGGTTGAAAAGTGCTATATTGAAGATAATTTATCTAAAATTGGGTAATTAAGAACATTGGAAACCAGAAAAATGTTCATATGTCTATTTCATAATAAAAATGTGTTGGGTTTGTTTCTTCCTGCTTTCTTTGCTATCACTGGGTTTTATTGAGCCCTAGTGGGCTTTGTGGAATTTTTTTTTTTTTTTTTTTAATTTCTCCCAACTACTGGTTTTTATTTTGGTTTCAAAGGGTGTTTTTAACAGATGCAATTTCTCCTAAGACAAGAACATATTTCAGGGATAAAAGGGGACATGCTAACATTTACCTTCTATGAGCTTGTTTGCAAATCCAGGTAGGTGTTGGGATATTTTCCTCAGGTAGGAAAGAGAAGTTCTGGGATTCTTGAGGCTTTTCCTAAGGAGACTAGCAGCTTCACCTGTCTCTTTGGTTTCCTTATGATGAAAACTGACAGGCAGATAGATGAGGAGATGCAGTTGTCTGTAAAGAGCCTCTATAAGGGTTTGAAGGGCTCTGCGTAGATTTGCCTGCATGTGTGCCCCCTCCGGGATGCACCAGCTTTCACAAGGCCTAAAGGAAGGGTGTCCCTTGAAAGCTGAATTTCTTTACCATGTAAGTGACTTAGAGAATTGTAAACAAGCTTTTGCCTCTAGTCTTGGTCTTTTCATAGTACAGCTTTAGTTCATAACATGTTAATGCTCTAATATTGCTGAACAGTTTCTTGGGAAAGAAGATGGTAGAATTAGGCCCTCTGTACTGCTGCTATTTATTCCAAGGCTGTTTTGTGTTTAAACTTGAGAAGGCTCAGTCAATACCTGTTTAAAGTGGGCTTCTGTGAGGGTTTTCAGAGAGATGGTGCTGACTTAGAAATAATTTTCATATAATTCCTTCCTCCTCATAGTAAAGTAGAAGAGTAAACTACAACTAATACTTCTTGGGGAGACAAAAAGTATACCATCGTGCTTTATGAATCATGGGTGTGGTTTCTCTCTCTGAGAAAAGTGAGCAGCTAATCTTCTTGCAGAATTCCTGTTATTGGCTGGTAGCATCCAACTATGAGTACAACTTAATTGTTCTATTAATCATATTAGCTGAGAAAGAAATATTCCTAGCGCAGCAACCCATTCTGGCTGTGTGTTGTCAAGTACCCAGTACTCACCATTTAAAAAGTAGAGGGGGAGTAACTACCACATGGAATTGGTCATTAGTGTGTTTGTCAAACATGGATTTTTTTCCTTGCATGGGATATACCCCAACCTTTTCTTTCTTGTGCTGTTAATTGGAAACTGCATGCAGTATTGAATCTGATGTAGTCTTCCTTTCTTTCTAGATGCTTAAACCAAACTCTTGGTGAGAGGACCCAGACACTAGAGATACTTAATTCTTCATACATGCAAAAGATAGAGCCCCAAATAGGGTAGTTTATGTAAGTCATAATAAAATGAATTAGTATATACTAGGAAGCCTAAATCAGACTTTAAATGGAAAGGTCTTAAATTTTGTTTTTTTTTTTTTTTTTGTCTTTTTATTTAAAATAGAGTTTTACAGTGTGGGGCAGTCAGTCCTTGTAGGACAACTGAGTTCAGTTCGGTAGGAATGACTTGAGTGCTGTCGAGGAGGGGGAGCCAGGTGCAGTTGCTGGGCAGATTTTTATCTCTAGTCCTCAGAATTACTGTTTATTAACTAGAAGAGGGACAAGATAAGAAAATGAGGCAGCTTTTATTTTTTTAATGTCAGCATGTGTCTTGGACTTTAAAAATCGCTATGTAGTCTTTATTTGAGCAGTAAACCTGTAGATGGCTGCCATTGGAGTAAGTACAAGGGTTTTGCAGTGGTTAGAAGCTGCCTTTACTGTTTCCTAGGATAGGTGTTTACACAACCTTCATTTGTGACTTGGTATTTAACATTCAAAGAACTAAGATGGTGTAGTGCCTTCCAGGAAGGAGATGGGGTAAAAGGGAAAGAAAGGATGGACGGACAGACTTGTTTAAACAGCCAGTGACTTGACCAAGACCAGCATGCTACCATTCTGTCTTGGTAAGCAATACCTAACGGGTTAGGGTTACCGTAAAGTAGATACCATGGAGTGTGTAGAAGAGACCTGTGAAACACTTTACAGTGAGCGGGAAGGTTGAATTTAGATGAGAATTAGCATGAAAAATATAATCCTAGAAGTCTTTGACAGTCTGAGGAAGAAAGGTTGACTTTTTATACAATGAACCAACCCTTAAACCTGTCCCAAAAAGGGCGTTTTCTTCCTAGGGTGGTACTAGCTTACACATGCTTTTATTCCTTCGAGTATGGTCAGTTGTCATTGTGTGGGACATTGGAAGTGATGCACCAGAAGCTTCCCAGTGGGTGAACCGATAGACCAAGTTTGTGATCATAGTTGGCTTTAAACGTTTATTTTAAATTACAGCAGAGATCTTTGTGTCCAATTGCCTGTTTTTCAAATGGGATCCAGATCTTTGCTTTCACTGTTTTACATATCCATTTTCCTAACTGTGTCTTCTATATAAGATGGAGTTTAAAATGAGAGCTTAAATGTTTGATAACCAGTTTAAAATGTCTTTTTTTTTTTTTTTGTAATTAGTTGTTCTTGAGCATCTTGCCATACTTGTATTTAACTTAATGTCTCAGTAGTCAAAGCCAGTAAAATGGAATGCCTGGCATAATTTAGAAACTGAGGGACATTGGAGTGGTTGGAAAACCTAGCTGGCCTCAGACACTTTAATCCAAGTTTTGGGCATTGATACTTCGTAGAGAAATCAGCTTAAACATTCTCAATTAAGAAATTTTGTTAATTTGACAAACTAAGTGACCTCCTGTGAGAGCTGTTCTCATTGTTAGACCACTAGTCAAAGCAGAGCTCTTTTGTATGCTTTATAAAAACAAACCCCTTTTCAATAATTTCTCCAAGAGACAGGACTAGGAAGGGAAGGGAAGTGGGCACTGGCCAGATCTTGAAAGATCCATTACAATGTTGTAAAAGGATTAAGGATTTCAAAGGTTATGGGAAAGAAAATGATGAAAACTGTCTGTGGGAAGAAGGTAAAAATAGATGTCATATAAAGAAATTTGGGGCCTGGTGCGGTGGCTCACATCTTTAGTCCAGTGCTGGGGAGGCAGAGGCAGGCTAAGGCTGCACCGTGAGATGTGAAGACGCTGGATTTATTAGTCACTTTTCTCAGGCAGCTTTGGGACGGGACGGGAGGTTTAAGGACACAGTCCGTTACGATGCTGCCTGTACTCAGGGTCACCCCCAGGCGGATCTCTGTGAGTTCGAGGCCATCCTGGTCTACAGAGTGAGTTCCTGGACAGCCAGGGCTACACAGAGAAACCCTGCTGAGGGAGAAATTCCTAGAACTGTGTCCTTGCTGTGATGAGACTCCATGACCACGGCACCTTGCACTTGAGGCGGGAGCTGATGGAGACCATAGAGGGAAGCTGGTTACTGGCTTGCACAGCCTGCTCTGTTATGTAACAGTGGTTCTCAACCTTCTTAATGTTGCCACCCTTTAATTCAGTTTCATGTTGTGGTGACCCCCAACCATAAAATTGCTTTTTACTCATAACTAATTTTGCTACCATTACCAATAATAATGTAAATACATGTTTTCCAGTGATCTTGGGCGATTGCTGTGAAGGGGTCCTTTGGGACCACCTTCCCTGGGACAGCACCACCCACCCACAGTGGGCTGGGCCCTCCCCTGTCAGTCACTAAGAAAATTGCACTAGAGCTGGCTCTTAAGAAGGCAGGCATTCAGCTTGTGGCAGGTTTACATAAAACTAGGTGGCACACTTGATTCCTTATCATCTTGACACACAGTCATCACTGTTAACCCATGGCCTTTCCTTTATGGTAACATAGGAATAGCAACATTCCATTATAAACATTTCAAATTTTTAAAGTCCCACAGTCTTTAAAAATTCAGTCTCTTAAAAGTCTTTGTAAAATTCCCAGACCCCTAAAAGTTAAAAGTCTCTCAACTATGGGTTCCTGTAAAAGCAAAAATAACTTGAGTACTTTCTTCAAAAAGGAAGGGTCAGGGCATAGTCACAATCAAAGCAAATCAAAACCAAACCAGTATAAATAACTCAATGCCT